GATCCCAACTCCTCACAGGCTCTGACCGATCCTGCCCTAAACCGTAATCCTTGCGTTACTTAAACTTAAGACCCTGAAACCTAAAACCCTTGATGCAGCCCAGCATGATCCTAACAGGAAAACCCACCTTTTGGCGGCCGCTTCTCGTAACCTTCTTTTGTCTTGTCGCCTCGTGATCATACCAATCGTAGTAGATACCGTGCAATGTAGTCCTCCTACTTGGTCCCTGTATCAAACCACCAAGCTCCCAAATCCATCCCCAATCCTGTTTCCTGAAACTTGTTGAACCCCTAAAAGCCCTAAAACCCTCACCACCCATCCTCACCGGGCCATACCTTTCCAAGGCCTGCGGCAGCAGCGGAAGGGCACGGGCTTTGGGACTGATGCAAGAACTAAAACGTGGGAGGACAATGCCATCGTTTTTCTGATTGCATACTGTTGCATACACAAGTCTGAACTCCTGAAACCGAGGCCCGTGCATGAGCCTTCAAACTCCAGGACTAATTTAGTTACTACCTACTCCTACCACTACCACCACCACCACCACCAAGACCACTGCTACTGCAATTGCTGCTGCTCCTCCCCTCACTGCTGCTACTGCTGCAAGTGGGGCTCAGCCCTCAGCACTAATTATTGCACACATTTGCTATCGCTGTTGCTGTAACTGCCTGTTTTGCTTTGCATCTGTGTGTGATCGTATGAAGCCTCATACTCCCAAAGATCCCCCCGCAACGACGGAACCGATGCTGCCTTCGCCGAGGGCGCCACGGCAGGAGGCAAAAACCGCTCGGGGAGACGTGCATCGCCTGTGCAGCAGATAGCAGTGTCGGCGGGGGGGAGAGGGTTATGGCTATGGTTTCAAGGTTTTTCGGTCGCTTAAGATTTCAAGATTTTTGATGTTTAACAAGGTTTTATTAGGGTATAGAAGGGTTTCACAAAGGAGGATGCAGACAACAGTACAGGAATTCTTATGATGAGGGCTGGCTACTGCAGTGCTCATTATGAGAACTCTACTATGTTTAGCGGCTCCTTTTCTGAAGCTCGCAGGTAGGATTCAACATGGCCGCCCTCGTGTGACATCGCATAGGACACAGGATCTAGGAGCTGAAGGGTTCAGGGTTGGAGCATTGAGGTCTGTTTAGCTCGGCATATACCGTAGTAAACAGACAGCATACGCCGCAATGCAAACAACAACTCGTTGGTCTGGAGGATTCTGTAAGAAACCATTCGATCAAAGTTCGTTTTGCGAGCTTGTCATCTTGGGTTTTCTTTTCAGGAACCTCGCCCGGGGTAAGGTCTTAAGTTTGGTTGGGATCTGCGGCCGCCCGCTCAGCCACAACCACCCAGCGAATCCTTCTCCCAGCGACCCAGCTTTGTCGGTTGCAGAGATGAACGCGCCTTCAAGCACGCGCGGGCTGATAAAGCTCATGCCCAGGCCTAGGCCCCAGGCGAACTTACCCGGGGCCAGGGTTCTGGCAGTGACGCGTGTCTGCTCACTGCAGCGCCACTCGTCATGCCAACGCCGTGTGCAAGTCGATGGGAAATGCGAGTGAGGTGGTTGAAGTATATAGTATATAGTATATAGTATGTAGTGTATAGAGTATAGTACGTAGTATAGTACAGAATACGAATGTTATATGAGCTAGAGGAAGGTCGCTGGCTCGCTCTTCCAGCTCACGGCTCTAGGCGCACGGAAGCAGATCCATAGCGCATGTCTTCTCTCTCCCTCTGTCTATAAATAAATGTACAAATAAATAAATAAATATATATATATATGTGTGTGTGTGTAAACATATTTAGTACATGTGTGTGCAACAGCATCTAGCGCATGCATGGGATCAGCATGCATCGAAATACCCCAGACTCAACACCATACATCCCGAAACCTCTTCAATCAAGAAAAACTGATTCGACAGCGCAACCTGCTTCTGAAACCCGGGGTCCCTTTTTGGAGGCACCTTTCCTACTGTTGATGATATAAATCCTGCTTTGCCTTAAGGACCCTAAACCATGGGAAATATGGTAGATTCCTTATTATGGGTAATGCTGGATTTATATCATCAACCGTATTTCGGCCTTTTTTTCGACGGTCCCTGCGCTTCAGTCCTGAAACTGCCCACCTGTGTGCAGAAAGCGGCAGGAGCCGCCATAGGTGCACTTGCCCTCGAGGAAGTGCCGACACACGGACCTACGAGGCTAAGATCTCGGGCCGTCTTACACCCCAAAATCCTGGTAGGTAGGATTGGATCTATCTTCAGCGAATGAAAGGCTGTTGATGTGTGATTTGGGGTTGAGGAAGTGCTTTTTGGGGCCTGAGAGTGTCGGGCCTCGCTCTTAAAACCCTGAAGCACAAGATCCATCGTAGGAGTCTGATCAAGAAATCCGTGCATCGAAATCCCAGACATCACCGAAGATGCAGATGCACAAACCCTAAACCCTAAACCCCTAAAACCCTAAAACCCTAACCCCTAAACCCCTAAAGCCCTAAACCCTAAACTCATATTCTTCACACCCTCCTGAGGCGCTTGCGCTAAACGATAAGCCGCAAGAACCGAAGCCAGAGGTTGAGGTTTCCGGGGTTTTGGGTTAGAGTAGAAGCCCAAAGTTGGAAATCCAGTAGCCTCAATCCAAAGAGTAATGCAGAAGCAATCCCAGCACTAATTGTCCTTAATCTGGTTTCCAACTTTTTGGGGTTGACCATAGGCCTCGGGATTTTGTCGTCGGGTTGGCTATTGTTGGTGACTGGATGGGCTTGATGGCACGGTTCACACAGGGCTCATGTACCTTTGTAGTCCCAGACGAAGCACGAAGTTTTCGCCATCTTCGGCCGGTCTCTTGGATGAGTTCCAACATTCGCAAACGACGGCTTCTATGATCCGGAGAAGAGCCGTGAAGGGCGAAGGGATGAGGAAAGCCCAATACCCCTCCTAATCAGCAGCCCCCTCCCCTCCCGAATTCCTAAATCCGACACCTGAAGACCAAACCGGGTCCCAACATAAACCCAAACCCACATAGAGTTCAGCTCAGGGTCTTGAATCTGAAGTTATGACCTGACTATTTTGGCTGTAGTGCATCGGAACTTAGTCCTTGGGTCCCTCTTACGGTTCCGGTTCCCGACCAGTTCCATTCATTTCCGATGGGGCTCTTGGCCCCAAGTAAGAAAAGTAAACCTAAACCCTATAAACCCTAAACCGTATAAACCCTAAACCCTATAAACCCTATAAGCCCTATAAACCCTAAACCCTATTATCCCTATAAGCCCTATTTACCCTAAACCGCAGGGAGCTCTAAAAAGGCGACTTTTGACTCCTCATCCCTAAACCCTTGAGACCCTACAGTCGAAGCCAAAAAGTTGGAAACCCAATAGCCTCAATCCGAAAGAGTAATGTATAGGGTCTAGGGTTTAGGGTAGGGAATCCCAGCACTATTTGACCTTAATCCGGTTTCCAACTTTTTGGGGTTTACTGTAAACCTTCACACGGAGCATATCGGAAGGAGCGGCACAAGCCCTAAACCCTAAACTCTATAAGCCCTAAAACCCTCAACCCTAAACCGTTCATTTTGCACGCTTCTGGCCAGGTCGCGGGTCGTCCTACTTCGAAGGTCGATGCTCGCGCGCGTTGCTAGAATACAAGGGGGCCTTAGTAGATAGGATAAAGCCTCGGGGCGCATGAACTATGGAACGGTAGTGAGGCACCCTAAGGAAGAATCAAAATGCTACTAATGATTCCGACCCGCTTGCCCTGCTATAGGGGGCCTTGATCGTTGGAAGAAGGTTTTGAGGATGTATTATACCCTAAACCCTAAACCCCAAACCCTAAACCCGCTATAAGAAGGAGCCTTCGGCGATGCTTCATGCTACTCTAGATATTCTGAGCCGAGATGTTCAGGAGAAGTCGCGAAAGAGCGACGGATATCAACCATCATGATAGGAATCTTAAGAATAAAAACAATGGCAATTACCATATCAAGGCGAACCATTAAAAAAACACTGACAACATCAATCATAATTTTAGCGATGGCAATACACCGAGGCCCTTGGGTTTTTCTGCACCTAGGGGTAGCCACTATAGAGATCTGAATAAGTTTTGCGCAGCAGTCATGACGTGCCATTTAGGTTCCTTTCCAGTTGTATCTAAACTTGATAGCCCGAATACCCACTCAACACCTCAAAAATGTCCCAAACGGGGTCAACGTGGTCACGGTTTTGGCCGCATCATGGACCTTCGATCCGGGTGGTTCCCTCAGGGTCCATGCACCTATCTATATTAATGCTTCTGCTACAACTACAACTACAACTACAAAAACGACAACAACAACAACAACTCCTACTACTCCTGCTCCTCCTGCTGCTGCTGCTGCTGCTGCTCCTGCTGCTGCTGCTGCTGCTGCTCCTGCTGCTGCTGCTGCTGCTGCTGCTCCTGCCGCTGCTGCTGCTGCTGCTGCTGCTGCTGCTGCTGCTACGGCTTACTGCTACTGCTTCTGCTACTGCTGCTGCTAACTACTATTTCTACTGCTGCTACTGCTGCTGCTACTACTCTTGCTGCTGCTGCTGCTGCTGCTGCTACTACTACTACTACCACTACTACTACTACTACTACTACTACTACTACTACTACCAGCACTGGTAATACTTATAGTGTTAATAACCATGGCAATATTAATGCTGATAGGAGTAAATGAACATAATATGATGATGGTGGTGGTAGTAGTAGAGGTAGTAGTAGAGGTAGTAGTAGCAGCAGAAGTAGTACAAGCCGTCGTCGTCATAACCATAGAAACAGTAAAAAGAGAGAAGTAGTTGTAGTCATAATAATGGTATTCGTATGAGCCATACAGAGGAGCAGGAATAACAGTCATGGTCAACAGAAGTCACGCCAGTATATACTTAGGCCTTAGAGGGGTTCCGTTATACACTTTAAGACGTTAAGGCTCGATGGGGACAGTGATTTTTGGACCACAGTGTACACCATATACGTGCGTGGACCCATAGGGCTAGTCTATGTCAGGCGCTGTTTCAGCATGTCTTGCACAGAGCTGCAGTCCCCGCCGTAGTCTGGATGGCCCCAGGCCACCACCTCACCGTTGCCAACGATGGCCGCGAAAGCCTTGTCGGTCGCTTGAATCCTGAGCTTAGTTCTAGAGTTTCTAGATGGTTTAGGGATTATGGGTTGAGGAGTTCTCCAGGGTTTAGGGATTATGGGTTGAGGGCTGAAGGTATAGGGCCTTAAGAGAGGCCCCAAAATGCGCAATTTCTGACTAATTCATCCAGCCCGCTATATTACCTGCCCAGTGGTCCAGCTTGAACTCTGAGATTCATGTGCCCTGAGCCCGGGACCCTAGAATTCAAGACCCTGAAATTTCTTAAGCCATTGAAGCTTACACACCGGAAGGAGCGAGCTCCCTAAAGCCACAATTTGGCTCGGTGGCTTGGGGTTTCATGTTTAGGACTTAGGGTTTCAGGGTGTAGGGCTGAGGGCTGTTACTACGAAGGACTTTTCAGGGTCGGGTCCTTGCATTTGATTGGCCAAGGAGCTGCCGCACGTTCTGGAGCTTCGACTGAACCCGGCTGCTGTTGCCACCCGCGTAGCAGTCACCCCAGGTCACCTTGCACGGGCTGTTTGCCCTAAACCTAAAGCCCTAAACCCTAAACCCTAAAGCCCCATACCCTCATGCAAGGCTTGGGGGATGAAGCAACTCATTTCTTGCTTGTGATTTTTGCCGATCAGGACTCGCTGGTGCTATTCTTGCTTGTCGTGGATGCAATTGGGGTCTCTGGAATTCATTGCGGGGTTTGGCTGTCCTCGCAATAGACGATAAAGTTACCATTAGAGTTAGAATGAAATGAATATTCTTCACGATGCTTGTGGTCAAGTCTATTAGAAAGAGGAGGCCTGAAGGACTTGTTACCGTACTGCCACTATGCCAACTATGCCCAACTTTCTCCCTATTATCTTTCCCGCGAGTGTTGCAACTGCTGCTGCTGCTGCTGCTGCGATATAACTGGGCAGCCAAATCCACAAGCCCACAGCACACAAGCAAACACACAAGAATGCAAAACAAGCAAACCAACAAACAAACAAACAAACAAACGAACAAACAAACAAACAAACAGGGGAAATAACGAATAGAAGCGACTGCATAGGTCTGTGCAATGCATATATGGACTCATATGTGCATGTAGGCATGCATGCATGGATGCATGTCTGTGTATACGAGTGTACGTAGGTATACATGTATGAATGTATGCATGTCGTAAGTATCTATCTATCTATGTATGCATGTACACAGATAGGTATACATACTGGGACACCCAGATGCGCAATACCTTCCGATTATGGCACTTGTAGGCATCGTTCCCGTCCCTGTTTTGAAACAACGTGGTTCCTCTGTATCGCATCTTCCGAGACTTCAAACCCTTGCCCTCAACCTGAAGCCAAAATATAGCAGCTGTGAGCTTGTGCTTGACTTGAAAATCCAAGTGGCGACTGTGCCATCCCCACGTAGTGCCGCAAAGGCCGATAGATTGGCCGTAATGCTCCGCACGTCACGCAACTGTGTTCCTTTCAGGTGTTCTGGTAAAAGTGTTCCCTCTGAGGTCTTCGGGCAAAAAGAATCCCAAGCCCAAACTGTCGAGAGCCATGGCTCGTATGGGTTCTTGCATGGATTGAAGCGATATCTGCTCGGTTCAACAAGAAAGCCCGCTACAAGTGAGAGCGTTTGAGTTTTCCAGTTATCGGCCATCGGCCATAAGCGCAGTATAGAGCCCTTCTTAATTGCAGTAGGGTTTTGTGGGATACTATACAGTATGTGCTAGTTAGCAACATAAAAATGGCCCTACTGAGCCACTGCTAATATAGGGGCCTCGAAACTTTAGGATTGGGTTTGGGGGAAAGGGCGGAATATTCTTCTATATAGCTACAATAGGCAACCTTCAGGAAACATATTCGTGATCATTGGCCCTGCTACAACGCCTACATCCTCCATCCTCCCCCTACACTGCACACCAAACCCGCAATAATCGACCCTAAACTCCACACACCCTCATTCCTAAACCCCAACAGGGCAGGCAAAAATGCCAGCCCAGATGCGAAGGCGGCGGGAGGCCCCGCCGTGCGTGGCAGCGCCCCAGGTGACCTTCAATTAACGAGAGGGCTTTGGCTTGAGGGGCTTTGGGTTCTCTGGGCTTGTGTCAAGCTTTCGATGGGGTTCCAAAAGTGCTCCACAGGAGTTCCTGAACTGCAAGGGTTTTGTACCGTTTTTTGGGGGCTCCGGAAGTTCAGGATTGGGGCTTTGGGGCTTTGGGGGGGGTGTCAAGGCTTTGGGGTGGAGACTTGGGATGTCAGCTCTGTAGTCGATCTTTAGGCTTTTGCAGAATGTAAACCCAACTTCCATCCCGAAAGTTGGTTTCAGTGCAGTTCTGCTAGGAAGCTGGCCAAGTAGGTCCGTAGACTTTGTGTCTCAGGTTTCGCATGCATAACTCTTCGACTGAGGGTTCGGATTTCGGGGCTATAGAAGGATTTCAGGTTTCGCGTGCAACCTTAGAGTGCTGGACCCTAGTGCTGGTTTAGGCGGTTTCGGGTTCAGGGTTTCGGATTCAGGGGGTTCAGGGGCTTAGGCTTAGGATGGGTCAAAACTCCTCTGTGGTGTCTTATCAGTTGCGAGTTTCGGCTGTGGGGTGGATCATGCGGATAGCGTTCGGGTTTAGGATGTCTGCGCAGGCAGCCCTGAACCACTCTCATTCCAGAAAGCTGTCATCTCAGAACCACAAAAAAGAGTGAGAAACCTCTTGAACCCACCCGATAAATGCCCTGATCGGAATCCTTGACATGAGCCCTCCCACCACAGTGTCGTCAGCGCGGAGGGCCGCGAAGGCGCAACTCGTCGCAAAAAGCCGCTGCACCTATTGGGGCGGTCTGGTCTGGGGTCCTTTGTGAGCGGGTTACTTATATTTGTAGTTTAAAGGCTTCTTCTACACATGTGACGAGCCGGTAGCCCTTAACCCCCAAACCCCGAAACCTATGAAACCCCAGAACCATAAACCCGAACATAGGGGCCTTCGCATTTACAACAGGGCTCTGGGGGGATCTGTAGCAGAACTATATCAAGAACCACACCAAAACCCTAAACGCTGAACCCTAAACCCTATAAACCGTGAACCCTAAACCCGAAACCCTTAACCCTATAAACCCTATAAACCCCAAACCCCAGAACCCTTCAGTGCCGACGCCCCCAAAGGCACCTCCCGCAGCTGCGGCTGAACCGCCTCAGAGTCGCCACCGAACTCCGCCTCTCCCCAGCAGACCTGGGGGTTTAGGGTTTAGGGGTCTAAGGGGTTTAGGGTCTAGGGGTTTAGGGTTTAGGGGTTTAGGGGTTTAGGGTTTAGGATGGGGTCTTTTTGGTAGGGGTGCTTCAGGAGGTTTAGGGTTTAGCTTTTTGTTTTAAATGTGTGTTGGGGATGAGGGTTTAGGGTTTAGGGCTAGGGGAATTTCATGAAAATGTCAGAGGGCTTTGTGAGGAAAATCTAAAGGTTTGGGGTCTTTTGTGCGTGTTTGGGGAGTGTCGATATTCGGGACCAGTGGTGAGTGTTTCCAGGACTTTCCCCACTGGCGTGTGAGTTTCTGCTATCTCCGTCCCCGCCTTTTCGGAACCTCACACACAAAAGTCCAGCCTTCGAATCTGAATCTTCACCATAAGCCAGGAACCCCAACCCTCAAGCCCCGAATCCTCGACCCTGTAATTATTCAACCAGGAGACCACTGATCCGTCCTCCAGGATGGCTGCAAAAGCACCATCCGAAGCACAGATGTGCTTCACCTTCCGCTGGGGCTTCGGGGGCAGGGCTATGTGGGCTTAGATAAACCCTAAACCCTCTACGGGGAGGGGGGGCCAAGGTTTATGGCTCAGTTCTCTTGGTTGTGGACTTGCTCAGGGGCGACAGGTTTAATCGTCTCGGGCTCCACAATGATAAGAAAAAATCAACGTGTTCTCCTCTCCACTTGGGCTTGTCTGGCCTGGTATTCTGGGCTCGAGCTTTTCGTTTCCGGCATCTTTGTCAGAGTGTCGCCGCTTTGGGGAGGATCCTAGTCGGAACAAGCTCCACACAAAGCCACCACCTTGGCAAGACCTTGGAGGTTCCATAATAATAATAATGATAATAATAATAATCATACTAGGAGTTTCTAGAAGAGGAGGCCGCGTGGGGCTCCCACTACGACAACGACTCCCCGACAGACTCAGAAAGTCCCTACATCTAGCGAGCCCTACGTCCCTGAGAAACGAAACTATTGTCAAGAGTCGCTCGGTGCTAATTGGCTGAAATTCCTCAAAACATCTCATGACAAATCCGGAGGCCCCCTACAGGGTTCGGGGTTTACTAAACCCGAACCCCTAAACCCTAAACCCCTAAACCCTATAGGGTTCTAGCCCAGTTGCATCTTTCAGGCGATGCCGCACCGCCAGGTCGTTCGTGCCCCACTGCGGATGGCCCCAGGTCACGACCTCTCCGGGTTTAGGGTTTAGGGGTTTAGGATTTAGGGGTTAGGGTGTCGGTTCAGGCTTTCGGGTTTTAAGGTTTGGGCGTGCAGGTTTGGGAAGCCTGGGTGTAGCTTCTTATTGCTAGGTGCTCGGCTCCCAAAACCCCAAAACCCTAAAACCCTAAAGCCCTAAAGCCCAAATCCCTAAAACCCTAAACCCTAAAGCCCTAAAGCCCTAAACCGAAGCTTGGGGAGAATCTTTTCCCTCCGGGTTGGGGAGTTTGGGCTCGAGCTTCGGTGTTTCGGCTCAAGATTTTTGCTAAGCCCCCTCGCCAGGTACCTACTATATAGAGTTACGGTTTAGGGTTTAGGGTTTAGTGTCATTTAGGGTACTAGCGCCCCGAGGGCCCCTTTATAGTAGGCACCTGGAGGGTTAGGATTAGGGTTGTTAGGGCTTGGTCCTAAGCCTTCGGGGGCTTGGCAGATTGCGCCTGGGCCTTACAGGGCGAAGCAGCGTGGGGATTGCGCTTCTGCTCCAGGGCTCCGAGATTTTTTGGCGAGGACGGTCCGTTCAGTGAACAAGGGGCTTTGGAGAGGAGGGCTTGGGGGCTTTCTGGGCGCTTAACTTGAACCTGCAGAGGCTTGAATAGAAGGAGGGTCCGCAGGAACAGGCTCGGAGAGAAGTCTGATGCTGAGGTCGGCCGAGAGGCCTACTACAGGAGCCTCGACAAAAGCAGTAGAGTTTTTTGGAGTAGTGAATATTGCTGAAACTATTTTCAGAGACCCTCCCAAGGCTTCCCGTCATAACAGGGGATTGGGGCTTGAGAAGAACTTCACCAAAGAAGCAAGGCTGACGTATCGGTGCTGGGCAAATCGCTCTGAGGAGGTGGTGCTGTAGAGCCGGCATAGTGTTGCGGAGGCTTCTACACATTGCCTGCTGGCTAAGGGGTCTATACACATACCTCCCTAAACCCTAAACCCTATTCTTAGCAGCATTGCACGGAGGGGGTTCTTTGGGTCGAAGTAAGGTTTCTCAGACCACAAGCTCTGCAGAAACAGCCCCCTGCACGCTACACCAGAACAGCTATTGCTGGGAAGGATTCAGGTTTGGGCATTTCGGGGACTTCGGGTGTAGGGGTTTCGGGCAGAGAAACACTGCTCTGAGTCTTGAGTCGCTGGGTGATTCCCAGTCCCTTGGCTGAATGCATCGAGCTCGAACCCGTTTTGGGTATAGGGCCGTTGAGGGCCTATAGGGCTTCGTAATTTAGGAAATTTATACTGCCCGATTCCCCCTAAACCCCAAACCCTCAACCCGACGAATCCTCCGAAAGGAAGGCGCTCGACCTTCGACCCTTATCACCAAAACCATTAAGCTTCTAACTATGGTCGGGACCTACATGCCCAAAAACAACCTACCCAGCCTTTAAGCTTAATGTAAGGGCCTAAACAATTACCAATACTATTTTGGGGGTGCCTCATTATAAATATAGTATAATGGGCCCCGAAACCCTATTCTATTTATCAAAGCCCCTACATTACCCTGCTTCGAAGGCGCAGTTCCATCGCCGAGGCGGGCGGCAAAGCCTCCGTAGGTGGCTGCAATCTGCTGCACGTCCTGTGCGGGAGTGTCTCAACCCTGAATTGCGGGACCTCGCGACCCAAACCCTAAAACCCCCTAAAAACCCCCAAACGCTCGCACTCGAAGCGTCCCATCCACGAAAACTTGAGGGATTGAACCGGGTCTTCGGGGATTCAGTGCATATAGGGGCCTAAATAATTTGAAGCATTATTTGTTACGGGTCCTTCTTATAGTTATACTATCATATACCTTTATATACAGTATTTCTTACGGGTCCTTCTTACGGTTATACTATCATCTACCCTTATACAGTAACCGACGCATGGGAGCTTCAGAAAAAGAAGGTAGCTCTACATGGGGAACTGTGAAGCCGACCCAAGCGCCACAACATAGGACACTCAGCCCCAATTCAGGGTTTAGGGTTTAGGAGGGTTTAGGGTTTAGGAGGGTTTAGGGTTTAGGGTGTAGTAGGGTTTTGGGTTAAGGGTTTAGTAGGGTTTAGGGTTTAGTAGGGTTTAGGGTTTAGTAGGGTTTAGAGAAAACCCTCTGTTCTCGCTCCAGGGCTTAGGGACATTTGGGAAGCGGGGACTCTCGGGCCCAGGATTCTGCGGCTTAGGGCTTTTTTAAGGGTCTTTAGGTACGTAGTTTAGGGATGTAGGGCTTCAGGGCTTAAGGGCTGCAATGCAGGC